CGCAATATGTTCATTGCTGGGTTATTTTCAAATGAACTAAACATTTTAAATATTAATCAGCTTTAATTCCTAATATAGTTAAGTATAGCTAGATATGAAACACATAAACAAAAGTTATTTTCAAATGAACTAAATATTTTAAATATGAATCAGCTTTAATTCCTAATCCAGTTAAGTATAGCAAGATATGAAACACATAAACAAAAGTTTCTTTGGGGTCCTCAACAATTTTAGGACCTCAAAAGTTTCTAAAAGTATTAAAGGGTCTTAAGACCAAAAAGTTTAATCACCACTTATATGAGCAGACCCTGTCATCTCCATGTAAAACCTTGAATAACAGAGATGGCTGTTTTTCTTTGATTTGCCACCCAGACTTGGGTGATTATAAGAGAAAACCTGGTTTAGACAGAATATACGGTATTTTCTCACTAAAAAGGAGAGGGAGATACAAAAAGCAGTCCATGTTAGAACCAAGGCCAATGTCAACAGCAGTGTCATCAAGAGGTGTCTATTTCTACAAATACATCTTGAAGACTTAGAACAAAGTGGTCATCCATCATACAGATTTCCTAATTTGACATACACCGTCCTATTCATGGATAGTTCAATTATCTTTTATAATTCATTTATAGCTTAGGAATGTCTGGGAGAGCTTAGTTTCAGTGTTACACAGAAGGATGTCCACCAGAAATGCTCTTCTTGGACTAGAAATGGCTTAAGGAATCTATATACCCAGGAATCTTAATTATACCACTCTGCTCATTCCACAACTTCTTGATCAATGTCCATGGAGGCTTATCTGTGGCAAAGTCAGAACATGTTTGCTCATAGACTATTTAATTAATAAATATCACTTAGAATCAGTTTAGATTTTCAAGGTGAAACTGCAGGTCTTTGAAGAGTCATCTAGTACTGAACGCCCAGAAACTGACAGTCTCGTCAAACTTAGGAAGTCTTTTTGGTCTGGTGGACCTGCAGTCTATTTCGTCTTCAGTAGCTTGTCATTTGGAACTGTTCACAGGTGCGAATCAAACACACTAGCCTTTACCCCACCGTGACAGGGGTTGTTTCATTCATCACTAAATATAAAGAGCCTAGCAGAATACCCAGCACACAGGTAACTGACACCAATGAATGAATCAATTTAATGAATGGATGAACTCACCAGGCACTCTTCATTTTACCGTCTTTCTAATTGGTCAATCAACACTGATTAATCGGCCATCACCACTTTTATCCTGTACTTATGAAACTTACTGTCCTGTTCTGAAATTGTCCTTTGAATTGATGATTATCATTAACAGTTGCTATTATGAAGTTTTCACACTGTAAACTATTCAATCAGCCAATGAATATTGATTATTTATTAGCAGAATGTGGCTTTAGGCCTGCTCTTACAAGCTTAATAATATCATATTTTGACTCAGAGTAGGTCCCACTAACTTACATCCAAATAAGAAAAATGCTGGACATAACTTATTCAGTCAAAACACCCGATAGATACAATTCTCCATGGTATGAACTTTGTACATAAAAGATCAACATATAATTTCCCAGAAATCCCCCAAGCAATGTAAAGTATTTAAACTATGATTATACTAGAAAAAGTCACAAGCTTTGTGTGACCTTTTCTGAAAACCTGTCTATAAATTCTTTTAAAATTATCCATGTTAATTAGGGTTCTCTAAGAAACAGCACGATGGTATTAAGTCTGAAAAGATTTATTAGCTGTGAACTTTAAAGGAGAGTAGTAGGCAAGGTCTGACTCCTGTGAAGGGGAGAGTATAGGAAAGAAGCATTGGGTGGGAGAAGTCTTAGACAGTAGCATGGTGCTAAGAAAATTCTGGGCAGGCGAAAGGGGAGTTGTTGAGTTAATGTTGCTCATCAGAGGAGTGGGCCAGCATTAACAGCCCTGCCATACTAATTCCTTGGTGGGGAACAGCAGGAACGCAGTGGCAGATCCCATAGGGTAGCTGCTGGGGTTCTCCGCTAACTCCTGCTGCCCATAGGTCATGTGGGCAATGTGTTTCGATGGCTGCCACATCATCTTTTGTAGGTATCAAATTGACAGTCTTCAAGTTCATTAATGTTTGATAGACACTCAGACCACAAATAATCTCCGTTTTACCTCTGTATTTGATAACTGTCATGAAACATGTTACTATGAGCAGAGGTTAAGGCTCTCAATAGAACATTATGGTTGTTATTTATTTTATATTAGCTTCTGAATGTTGTTTTATCACATATCATGTTGATTACTGTAGAACACAAGCAAAAGCATACAGTAAAAAAATTTAACCTACTTTTTGGGAATGTTAACTTAGTAAAACCCTTCGCTGATTTGGGCTAACTGTAGGTTGCCCAGGTTATAGAATACTTGGTTATTACTTAGCAGCTTACTCAGGACTGCAAATAGAACAAGAGTTGACTAAGAGAGAAAATGGATCTAAGAATCAAATGATTACTTCCAAATAGCACACCAGTTAGTTTCTAAGGAAAATAACTTTCATCCTCTTAAATGAGTGTCCCTACAATCTTCTCAAATAATATTGCACTAATAATTCATATCACACAGTTATTAAACTACTACTTCATTCTGTGTTTAGATTCTGAAAACCCTTTTTCCTAAGAAGCTCAAGTGTAGCCTGGGGCCTGAAGGCCCAATGTTGGCAACTGAGTGAGGCCTGAGGACACGCAGCAAAGGAGGCCCTAAGACCCAGCAGTTCCTTCCTTCCTTGATTCCAGATCTGTAAACCAGACCTGACGTTTCCTGACCCAGTTATCAGAAGACCACAGGACAGAAGCCTTCGAGTCATCAAAACTGACTAAGCTCACCCATTCTATCCCATTTTCCTCATATTACCCCTCCATACCTACTTATCTGTTTTCTTATAAAAGAAACCTGCAACTCAGTAATTTATAAAGAAACACAATTTATTATTACTTTGTTACTCTGGAGGCCAAGAAGTCCGAGGCTGAGGGGCTGCATCTGGTGAGGCTCTTCTTGCTGGGGTTGGGGGGATCCTCTGCAGGGTCCTGAGGCACAGGGCACCATGTGGCAAGGGGCCAAGCCTGCCAGCTCAGGTCTTTCTCCTTTTACAAAGTCACTAATGTTCCACCCTGATGACCTCATCTACCAAAGGCCCCACCTAGGAAATGCAGCTGGATTTTCCACCCCATTAAAATATTGTTACAATGGGAATTAAATTTTTACATGAGTTTCAGAGGGACAAACCACAGCATTCTGCTCCTGGGCCCCCAAAACTAACGTCCTTCTCACTTACGAATACATTAATTCCATCCTCTACCGCCAAAGTCTTAATTCGTTCCAGCACTAACTCCAAAGTCTCATCTACTCGCCTGTATAAACAAGTTATCTATTTGCAAGATACAGTGGTGAGACAGGCATGAGACACAGATTCCCATTCCAAAAGGGAAAAATAAGAAACCCCAAATCAGAAACCCAGAGGGGTACACATTAAACCCTAAAGCTGGAGAATAATCTCTTTCAACTTCCTTACCGGGCATCCTGGAACAGAGAGGTAGGGAAGCAATCTCTCAAAGGCTCCACCTCTCAATATTACCACTCTGGGGATTAAATTTCAACTTAAATTTCAGCAAAGACAACTGTGTAAACCTGGACAGCTACCTTAATTTTATATTCCAAACTAACATATTTTAGTTTATTCATTTAAATAATCTTTTATTTTTCAACTAATGATTTTTTAATGTTCTAGTTATATAAAATAATTTCAACTCAAGTATTTCAAATTTCAGTTTTTAGTTCTTTCTCCCCAGGAAGCCTGGAGAACCTGATTCATAATTTAAGGATAGCTGATGCTTACTGAGAGGTTCATGGGCTACACACTGGTTCAAGTGGCTTATATGGTGGGATGGTTAATTTTTTGTGTCAAATTGAATAGACCATGAGGTACCGAAGTTCAACAGTTTCTGGATGTGATTAATGCTTGAATTGGTCAATTCAGTAAAGCAGATGGTCCTCCCAATGCAGGTGGGCATCATGCAAGTCAATGAGGGCCTGAATAGGTCAAAAGGTAGAAGGAGGAATTCATCTCTCCTTTTCAGCCTCTGTGCTCGAGCGGGGACATTTCATTTAATCTTCTTTTGCCTTTGGACTGGTTTCATTCATATCACTGGCTCCCCTGCCAGGCCTTCTGAATCAAACTAAACCACACCACTGCCTGTCCTGAGTTTCTAGTTTCCAGATGACAGATCATGGGATTTCTCAGCCTCAAGAATTATATGAGCTAACTCCTCATAATCAATCAATCTACCTCTATCTACGTCTACCCTATTGGTTCTATTTTTCTGAGAAATGCTAATACGCATATTATTTATCATTTAAAATTATTAGCTATTAATATCTCCAATTTATATACACTAACACTAAAACAGAAAAGTTACCCAAAGGCAAGTCAGGATTTAAACCCAAGTTATCTGGCTAAAAAAAAAATTGCTGTTATTGTGGCCTTCTCAAAGTACAATGCCTTTTTCAACTCACATTGAAAAAGACACTACTACAGGGCGGCGCCTGTGGCTCAGTGAGTAGGGCGCTGGCCCCATATATGGAGGGTGGTGGGTTCAAACCCGGCCTCAGCCAAACCGCAACAAAAAAACAGCCAGGCATTGTGGTGAGCACCTGTAGTCCCAGCTACTCGGGAGGCTGAGGCAAGAGAATCACCTAAGCCCAGGAGTTGGAGGTTGCTGTGACACCATGGCACTCTACTGAGGGTGATAAAGTGAGTCTCTAAAATAAATAAATAAATAAATAATAAAAAGACACTACAACACAGCAACACAATCATTTAAAAAATATTTTATTTACATGTGCCTTTTACAAGAAACCGATTAAACTGAAAAAACAATGAAGTAAAAGTTTACAGCTCGAATCATCTTTATATGCTGCGATAAATTTAAAGATACTATGTACTAATGTAAAAATATTTACCCTTTCCTATATTTATGGCAGCGTATTTTTATCCAAAGCCATCAGATATATTTTTAAACACATTATGGAAATTACATGACTTAAAAGGATATATTCAAAAAATAATCCTTCAATTAAAGAATACATGACTTAAAAATCAATACAACGGCCCTTCCGTTCCCAATCTCCATAGCGTGTAGGTTCTGGGCCCCTGGGTCCACCTTTTTCTTTGGTAACTGGATTAATATCATCTGGAAATTCTAAGGAAAACAGAAAATGTAAGCAAAGCAGTCAAAAAAGCTGGGAAAAACTTATGGTCAATTACGAAGGTGAGGCTGCATCGCAGGCTAAATTACTAACCAGGTTACTATACAGGCTTAAATAAACTATATGGATGATTCTATTTCCTGAGTTTCAGAAACTACTTTAGTATACAATTTTCATATTCAGTCAACAGAGTTCCAGAATCGCTAGTTCAGGTGCCAAGCCTGCCAGCTAAGGTCTTTCTCCTTTTACAAAGTCACTAATGTTCCACCCTGATGACCTCATCTACCAAAGGCCCCGCCTAGAAAATGCAGCTGGATTTTCCACCCCATTAACACTGTCAAGGGTTGTAGATTGTTCATATAAAATGAGAATTGAAAAGCTATCTGCTGGATTTGGTGATGTCTATCAGAGCAGTTTCTAAGGGATGGTAGGTTTAACAAAAACTTGAGTGGTTCAAAAATGAAGATGCCTACCATCACATCAAATAGATGAACAGCTTTGCAAATGTGCTTTCTTTTTTTTTCTTTATTGTGGTGAAATATATCTAACAATATTTATAATTTTAACCATTTGTAAGTATATAACTGGTGGCATTGAATACATTCACAATTTTGTGGAACCATACCCACTGTCTCTGCCTAAAACTTTCTCATCCTCCCCATAACAAACTGTGTACCCATTAAACAGTAACCTCCCCCAGCCCGACAACCTCTATTCTACTCTCCGTCTCTAGGAGTTTGCCTACTCTAGGTGCCTCATAGAAGTGGAGTCAGACAACACTTGTCCTTCTGTGTCCAGCTTATTTCACTAAGCATGTTTCCAAGGCTCATCTATGTCACAACATATTCAAATTCCATTGCTTTTTATGACTGAATAGTATTCCACTGCATGGCTCTGTGTGCCACGTTTTGTTCATCCATTCATTTCATGATGAACACTTGGGATTGTTCCCCCCTTGTGGCCATGGTGAGTAATGTTATGCACATGGGTATACAGATACCTGTTCAAGTCCCTGCTCTCAATGCTTTTAGATATATACCTGGGAGTGAAATTGCTTTGGCCACACAGTAATTCTGACTTTTTGAAGAATGACAGAGGCTACATCATGTTACTTTCTCATCAGAAATGCATGAGTATTCTAATTTGTCCACATTCTTGACATCAATTTTCCAGTTTTTTGGTTAAACCCATTATAGTTTTGATTTACGTTTCCCTAGTGATTAATGATGCTAAGCATTTTGTCATGTGTTCATTGGTCATTTGTATATCTTCTTTGGAGGAGTATCTAGTCGAGTCCTTTGCCATTTTTGAATTGGATTTTTTTTTTTTTTGAGCAAAGTTGCAGGAGTTCTGGATATTAACTGCTGTCAATATGATTTACAAATATTTTCTACCATTCTATAGATTGTCCTTTTGCTTTCTTGATAATGTCCTCTGGTACAAAAATGTTCCCAATTTTGATGAAGTGCAACTTACTTATTTTCTGTTATTGTTGCCTGTGCCTTTGTTGTCATATGCATGAGATATCATGGAGATTTGCCCTGAAATATTCTTCTAAGAGCTTTATAGTTTTAGTTCTTAAGTTTAGATCTTTGATACATTTTGAGTTAGTTTTTGTGTATAGTAAGGTAAATGTCCAACCTTTTAATCTGCAGGTGGATAACCAGTTTTCCCAGTATCATTTATTGAAAAGACTGTCCTTTCTCCAATGAATGGTTTTGGCACCCATGTCAAGAACTAATTGACCATATGTGCGAGAGTTTATTTCTGGGCTTGCTGTTTAATTCTTATGTATATGCTGTTTTTTTTTT